TCCTTGTCTTCGTCCACCTCGCAGCGACGGACTTCGTCCTAACGGGCTCCCTCAGCCGCGCTGCTGGTCCGCCTCGACCAGGGCCTGCTGCGTCTCCACCACCTTGGAGGCCTCCGCCTTAAGGAGCTCCACCTCAGCCTCAAGGCGGCTCTTGTGACCCGCCAGCTGCTCATGCAGCCAGTTGGCCTCGTCAAGAGACCGTCGGGCCGCGGCCGCCTCCGCCCTCGCCTGCGCCGTCTCGATGCCAAGACGGCCAGTGTCGGCAACGAGGCAGTCATAATGATGACCGGCCCGGAGCATACGAGTCCGCCAGGACAGCACCTTGGCTGCGAAAAAGAAGGATTCAACAGAAAAAGAAGCAAGACTTAAGATTTGGCCTAACTGTTACACCGAATCTCGGGGTCTACACCCAGTGGGTGCGTTAGCGCGCCCCCACTAAAAAAGAGCACGAGAATACCTGTGGCGACGCGGAGCTCCTCCTCCTTGGCGGCGAGCTGCTCCACGAGCTCCCGGTGCCTGCCCAGGAGACGGTTGTAGGCGGCAACTCGGAACGCGTCGAGATGCTGAAAAAAGCGGAAGTCAGAACAAGGCCAACGCTCTAAAGATTCGACCCAACTACTATGTAGTTGGCCCGAACCTCGGGGGCTATACCCAGTGGGTGCGCTGGCGCGCCCCCACAAAGAAGAAATTACAAGGAAAAAAGAAGACTTACCAGAACGGCGCGCTCCAGGTCGCGCGTCCGCTCCACCTCGGCCTGGGCGAAGGCCTCCAGTCGTTCCGTCCGGCCTCGCAGGCGGCGGCTGACGGCATCCAGCGCCGCCTCCTTCTGGGTCTGAGGCCCGAAGACAACGGCGCCCCCGCTCCGTGCTGGCTGCGGCACGGCAGCTCGGCGCCCTCCCTGCCGGGGCACCAAGGCGTGCCCCCCGCTGGCTGCTTGCGATGCGGCCAGCACCTTCTCCGGCGCCCCTCCCAGCGCCGACGACGGCCCGGACGCCGGGACGCCGTGCGTCGCCACCACCGGCCCAGCTGTCGGGGTGGCCTTCGGCACCGCTGGCCGCGCTGCCTCCTCCATAACCGGCGGCGCCTCCGGCACCGCCGCCCGCAGCGCCTCTTCCAAGACGACGCCGCCTCCACCACCATCAACCCCCATGCGCTCGAACACGTCGGCCCACGGTGGGGTATCACCCCCACCTCCACGACCTCCTCGTCGAGGATCACCACCTCAGCCCGGGCTCCACGGTCGCGCTCCCTCACCGACGACGGCTCAAAGACCGTCGCTGCCACCACCGTGCCCTCCGGCATCTTGCGCCAGGCCGGCTCTGCGCCGGCTAGCGCCCATGCCGCCACCGTGTCGGTCCAAGCCTGGACCGGCCGTCTCCAGCTCCGCCTCGGCCCGGTTCCTTTCCTGCCAGGCTAAGGCATCGGCGTCGTTCGGGTCCGGGCCAAGGTCCGAGTCGGCCCGTCCCTCCACCTCGGCCTGGTCGGCGAGGTTGGACCGGCTCCTGCGGAACGCATCCCCTTGGCGGTCGCGGCTTCCGCCGCTGCCCTCGCCAGCGCGATTGGCGACCTAAAGAAGAAGATAGAATAAGCAAAAAAAGAAACAAGACTAGCTCAAAAATTCGGGCGCAAACGAGAAATGAAGCTTACCCCGTCAAGACCGGGACCGGGGTTAGCCTCCCGTGCCCGCCACCGCGCTTCTTCTTGGTCGGCCTTCCGGCCCCCGCCGGGTCTACCGTGCGCTTCAGGGCCCGGGGTCGCGGTGCGACACTATCTTTCACATGCGGGAGGCTCGACGCAGCCCCATGCGAGGACCCGGCTACGCCCGCGTCGCCGCCTCCCCCGCCCAGTGCCACTACACCAACAGACGGCGTCAGCATCGCCCGCGCCGTGCCGCGATCAGCAATTCAAGACACACGAAGAGAGAAAAACACGGAACTTACCCGCGCGACGCCCAGCGCCAGCGTCGGACTTGGCCACCTCCTCCTCGCCATGGGTCGCGGGCTCCTCTGGCGCCACCGGCGCCACCTGCAATGGAGCCCGGGCGTAAGGATGCTGAATCGCGTTCAGAAGTATCTCCCGCGTCGCATCGGGACGAATGCGAAGGTGCGCCGCAGCAAAATAAGAAGACCAAACACTCACCTGCTGCGTCGGGTTTGACTCGCTGTACGGCGCCTTGCCGAACCGCCAGTCCTCTCCAAGGTTGGCCTTGGAGATGTCACTCACGCCGCGCACAATCTGCTCCGCAAACAGCCGTGTCAACCCCATGTGGTTGGGGTCTTGAAGGCCGATCATTTCGCCGATGAGGCAGGAGCGCCTCTGGAGCGGAAGGACCCGGCGCATGATGAACGCGGCAAGGAGGTCGGTGCCGGTGAGCCCCTCCTGCGTCCTCATCACTGTCACCCGCTCGCAAAGGTTGACGATCCCCTAGGACGGGCGCCTGAGCGAGTAGCCCTAGTTCGTCTTCGCTTGCGGCAGGGCGATGGCGAAGGGCGGAAGGTTGATGTGGTCCGCACCAAGGTTGCGGACGTAGAAGAAGGAGTTCTGCCACTTCTTGGCAGAATCCTCCAGCGGGATCTTGTGGAAATCCGCCCCAGACCGCTTCGAGATGACGGCGGCGCCACAGTCGGCGAACTCCCCGGCCGATGGGCCCTGCTGCTTCAAGGAGAAGAAGCGCTCCCAAAGGTCGATCGTGGGCTCGACCCCCAGGTACCCCTCGCAGAGGATGACGAAGCCGGAGAGCTGGACGAAGGTGCTCGCCAGCAGCCCAAACTCGCGCTCGAAGTGCGTGAGGAAGACCACGCGCTCCTGCTCCTCGGGCCGAGGCCTCTGCTCGCCGCACGCTAGGCGAACGCCGACGTCCATCTCCCACGGCAGGCGCCGCGACGCCCGAAGCTGGATGATATCCTCGGTGGTGATGTTCGAGCCCATCTAGGAGCCCGACGGCAACGCCATGGACGGAAGAAGGAGTAAGAAGATGGACGACGGAGGAAGTTCTGCTTGGAGCAGCGGGCGCCGCAGTGCGTCGGTTGCAAAGAGCGGAGCAAGAGCAAAGGGACAGGAAGGCGCGAGCGATAATAATGTCCGCCACCCTCCTGCCCCCCGATTTATAACCCTCGGTTCAAACGTGGGGGGTGGGATCGTCTGCACGCACCCGTTCCACTACCCCGCAATAAGTGTGCACGTACACGCGCAGTAACTGCCCGGGGAAGTGCAACCGGCCCCCGGACGCCGCAATAAATCCGCGCGCGTGGACCAAGGGCGCGCGGCGGCGGACCCTAGCCCATCACCCAGTCCCGTCACGCACGTGGCCTGTCAGGCCCCTCCGACTTCCGGGCACCACGTGGCGCCCGCGCGAAGCCCGAGGGATTGCCCCAAGATTCGATGGATTCCTCGGTTCCCGCCACCGTCTGGATGCCGCGATCCGATTTCCGAGAAAACCGGCACACAGTGGGTGTTGCCGGACCCGGTGCTCGCAGAATCCGCCTTGCTCAAGGGGGAAACTGCGAAGGCCCACTCATCCGAAGACGACGGACCTTCACAGCTTCGGGGACTACTGTCGGGGGGATGAACCCCGGGCAGGCAAGGGAACCCGGATCCTCTTCAAAAACAGTGGGGCCCGCATCGCCCCTCAAACCGGCACGCGCCCGGCCGGGTCGCTCAAACCGGCAAGGCCCGCAACCCGGCCAAACTCTCCGACCTGGCAAGGTACGTCGACCCGGCCTCAGCAACTAGCGCAAGACAGCCGAACTCGGCACGACCGAGGCTTCCCCAACAAGCCGACCCCACCCATGGCGTGCACCGCAATCCAACCACGGGTCAAGCTCCCGTCCCATCCATGTCACACGATGGGACGAGACTTCAATCACCGAGACCAAGACAACAGTGCTTCCACCCATGCCTATGGTCAGCCGGAGCGTGGCAACAGTGCCCCTTACCTACCCGTTGACCGGGGCTGGCGCGGCAACAGTGCTCCCGCCCTCGCCGCTGACGACAGCAAGCGGCAGCCTGACGGAGAGCACTGTACGCGACTCGACTCGGCCACGCCCTGACGATCGACAAGACGACACACAGTCCCCCTAGGCACGCGGGGCCCGCACCTAGGGGAACCCGGCGAACCACAAGCCCTCAGCGAGACCCAGCCCGGTATCTCGGACACCGACAATACGGACCCACCGACTCGGCGTATTACCATTGTAACCCTGGGTAGGTTGATCTATAAAACCCCCCAGGAACCCACGCCTACATGTACGAAGTAGCAGATGAGAAACAGATACAAGGGACAAGCAAGTAAGCATAGGACTAGCCACCAAACCACAACACCGGAGAGAAGGAGCAGCCCAAAGCCTTGGCCAGCTTCCTTCCTCTTCCAAACAGCTCCAGGAGCAACATTGTACTATCGATCATCCAACTACACTCGGCAGGACTAGAGGTATTATCTCTTCGAATAGCCCCGAACCTGGGTATGTCCGGCGTCCCGCGCCTGCTCATGTCAACCTCGCCTCTGGAGCCCACCAGCGCCCTCGAGCATCCTCCTCTCTTTAGCCATCCCTTGAATTCTGTCGTGCGCCCACCACGACATGTAACCTCAACTTCTCTCTCTCTCTCTCTCTTAATACATGGGATGCTAGATGAGAATTTATAGTCTTAGTTAACTCGTACGCTTCCTATGAACGTACGCATCCTGTAAACGGTCACCATCTCTTATGAATAAATACCACGCGGCTCTCACTGTTGGAGAGTAGCAACGCTTCAACCATTTTAACAAAGCAGATACAGCCATCAAGCAAAATTTTCCACATCTTATCTTCCGGGTCAACAAAATCTATCCTTCATATCATCAACAAAGCAAGCCCACGCCACGAAACGCGGCGACAAAAAACACCCGGCTGAAAAAGCAAACAATCTAGATTTTCGACATTATCCAAAAGCAAAATTTACATAACGTTAGGAGCTAGCTAGGTTTCCTGAGCATATCTCACTCTCCCTCCTAATGCTGCTGTCTAGTGCTTCTTAGGCTTGGCGACCAAGGCCTGGCAGCATGAGGCAAAAGCATCGGAAGCGTCGAGGATTGGGGGGAGAGTGAAGGGGGGGAGGACGCCCGCGCCATTGTTGTGCGCGAAGGTCAAGGCGTTCCCAGTGAGGGTGTGTGCCATCGCGGTCTGCTGCTTGTTGAGCCCCTCCATGATGCATGAGAATGCTGCGAAGGTGGCGCAGTTCTGAAGCAGCGCTTGTGGTGTACCTGGATTCAGACAAACAAGCGTGTAAGAAAACCATGCCACCAAAGCCTCAGCAACTTAACAAAATGAAAAATGAGACCAACCCAAGGGCTAACCCTCGTTGGCATTTTTTTATATAAGAAACTCCGCCAGCACCGCACGTCAAAGCCAAGGCTCGAACTCGGGTGGGCTGGCAGCTACCCCAGCTGCCTAGCCAACGGGTCGACGCCCCGTCCTCAACAACTTAACAAAATGATAGTGGAGCTTGGGGTAGAGAATGCACAAATGATCTCGACAAGATAAAACCATTCTTGAAATATCGTTTCAGTGCAAACTTCCTCTTTTCACAGACCAACTGAAGACACTTGATACAACACTGAATGAAATGGCATGACTCAAAAGCACATGTACTAGTAAAGCAGCAGAGGGATGCAGTGTGAATAAAGTAGGTATGCGTTATGCTTAAGAATGTCTTTAGCATACCACCAGCTTTGCTATATTAGCATCAGTGAATTATCCAGAATAAACGCATGAGCGGTCCAGTATAATTGGACAGCAAGATGTGAAGTCCCGGACAGCATCTCAATTTGTTTTTAAGGGCATTGGTTAATTAAATGGACTCTCATACACTCTTCTATAGTGGCTGCAGGACTCCATTAACAAGCAAGATAGGCAGTGAGTGCCTTTTACTGTCAAAATTGTACTTGGTGCTTCGTTATATCATTCAAAGAATAAGGCTCCTGATTTTACTGAATTTCTTACACGCGATATTGGACTTCTTGTAAATTAATTTACTTCAAATTCTATGATAATTATAATAAGCAATCCAGTCTTGTATTTCTGGGCAAACTTCAGTATACATTTGTGCTCGAGTTCTCTATATAAGTTTGATAACAAATATACATCATGAACTAGAAGCACACCTGGAAGTTATTTTATCACTCAATGGATAAATTACACAGTTCGCTGACAAACCGTTGTACTAATTATAACGTGCTCAAAGTGTTGATTACAAAGGGTCATCCCACAATCCACGCATAGGTGCTTAGCAGTTCATATTGACAGAACTTTTGTAGGCAATCCAGCAATATGAATAACAGTACAGAGTAAGTTGATCACCAGAAATTGAACACACAACCAAATATTGCTTGCAAGTACTACCAATTTTTTTCACAATGTTATGCAATACAACAGAATATCGCATTACAACTTCTCCATACTATACTAAACAATACCAAGTTCAATAATAAGTGAGCTGTGAAAATGTTGGTAGTTCAATGTGAATGTACCTGGAAAACTCAAAGCAAGACCTGTGCAACAACCAGCAATGCCGGAATTGATGACTGCAAAAGGAACATGTTAGTTCATACTATGTATCCAACTCCCAAGGTGTTACCAAAAAGCTGACCGCTGAACAGAACACATACTATCATCTTTCCCACGTAGCTTCCTCAACAAGCACAAAACCAAACTCTGGACGCCAGAAAGAACTGCAAAACTCTGATCCAAGAAATTTCTATCATTAGCAAAGCTTTTTATGAAAATGATAGTGCAATTTCCTAGTTAAGAATATGCACACAAAGGCGAACACTAACTTTGGCAGAAGACCCTGCATTCCCGAGTGAGCCCTTCAAGCCCTTCTTAGATAGCAAACCTTGTCCTGAAAACAGAATCCGTTATGCAACATAAGGATTTTGTGTGAGGAAGTTAAATCGGGTGTCACAGGTGTTGTTAGTGACAACATGTATACCAGTAGTGCTTCCGTTATGCTAACACAATAAGGATCAAAATCAAGATTTAATGAATACAAGGAATTGGAGACTAAATGAATACAAGGAATTGAAGATTAAATGAATACAAGGAATTGTATCAAATGTGGACAATCTTATACTCTTAGTCTACCAAGAACTGGGCGCAAAACCTACTAAGGCAACCAAATGTCATATATAATCAAGTTCCTGATAGGAATTGAACACCGATAATAGAAATTCACGAAAGTACCCACGACATGATTAACGGAGCCATCACCGCAGAGCAGAGTAATCCGGAAAAGGATAAGAGGGTGGGGCGGGGGGGATTACCATATCCAAAGATAGATCCGACGAAGGCGCCGCCGGCGAAGTCCCCGGCGGACCGGAGGACGCATACGGCCGGACCGGCAGCTAGAGGCGGCAGGGACAGGGACGAGCCCCCCTCGGCGGGGTTGGTGCCCACGTCGCCGTCCGACTCGTTGTCGCTCCTCGCCGCCATGTCCGTCCTCTCTGCGAGTTTCGTTATCGCTTCCCGTTTCGTTTGCCCAGGCCCAGGGTTGGAGTATAGGACGGGACTCCAGCCTCTGGTAAGCGGGTCCCGCTGCCAGTCCCTCCAAGGTTGTTGGGTAGGCCGGCCGGCCGGCCGGCTTTACAAGCCCAATCGAACAGCCATATTAAACAAGCCCAATCGTATGTCTCAGAAAAAAAAAACAAGCCCCATCGTACCGCAGGACAGAGAAATCGTCCGTTGCAAGGTGCCCTCTAAACAGTTCTTCCAATACCACGTAAATCTCTGTGATGGCTAGGGTTCTCGTCCTCTCGGCGGCGATCTCGCCGCTGTTGAGATTTTCTCTTCCCCGATCCCGTCTCGTCTAGCCTCTCCCTGCTCGAATCGATCACGGGGTGATCTCTGTATCGCTACCCGATCTTGGCGGGGGAAGGCAGTCTAGCGGGAGCTCTAGGGTTAGGTCAAGGGCCCGGCGAGTAAGATTCTTCGCGCAAGGGAATAGCGATGGCGACCAAACCTTCTGGATCGGGAGATCAGGAGGATCTGGAGGCAATGATGAAGTAGTTGGGCCTCTCGGACAAGGACCTAGATGACGTGGTTGTAGATCAAAAGGCTCTACTGCCAGAAGCTACGAGGTGGATAGCAATTGCTAGGGTTCACATTGAGAAAACCTATAGCCAATTTTGGTTCTACAAGAACATGAGGTCAGCATGGGATCTCGTGCAGAGGGTCAATATACGCCCACTCGAGGACAACCTCTACACTCTGCAATTCTCGTGCCTTGGGGATAGGGAAAGAGTGATGCTGGAGGGTCCATGGAATTATCGGGGTGATGCCGTGATCCCGACAGAGTATGATGGCTTCACTAAGCCGTCGTCTATCAAGCTGGACTTGCTGGAGATCTGGGCACAGATACATGATTTCCCAAATGGCTATGTATCTCAGATACCTTCTTTGGCGGCGAAGTTGGGAGAGCTGGTCTATGCCGAGACTGCATCCCATGATTTCGAGGGAATTTCTTCAAGGTCCGTGTAAAGGTGGACGTCACCAAGCCGCTGAAAAATGTTGTGTCACTAAAGATCGGCGACAAGCACATGATTTTTTGTGTCAAATATGAAAGACTGCCGAACTGGTGTGCAGTTTGTGGCAGGCTAGGTCACCAATATAAGGAACATGGGGGTGGCATTCACCCTCCTTCAGCGCTGGTGTTCAAAAATCTGAAATCTACTTGGTTCAGAGGAGCAGGACCGGGTCCGGGAGAGGCGAAGAGTAGAGCCAAGCCAACTGCTCGAAAGGCACCAACAAAAACCAGGCAGTTTTCTGGAGGCAGTGGTAATAATGATGCTAACATGGAGGACGCAGATGGAAACAGTAAGCGACCCCAAACTGACCCAACTACAATGGCTAGCTCTCAGTTGACCAAAGCCGGTGGTGGCGACAGGGGAGGGGTGTTGGCCCTGCCTCCACCGTAGGTACCACTCAGTTCGCCACCAAAACAGGATCCAAAGCGGGCTAAGTTTAATCAGGAAAAGGGAAACAGCATGAGGAGCGGCAACACATCAGAGGCAACATCGGAGGACTCCCGGGTGGAGTACCGCCGGGCACAATGAGTCTCCTTAGCTGGAACTGCCGCAGCGCGGGCAAAGCCGCGACAGTTCGGGGACGTTCGAGAAAAAGGTCACGGGAGGGAGCTACACTCGAGTTCGTCTGGACCGGGCGTTAGCATCAGTCGACTGGATTGCGAGGTTTCCCTCTGCGTATGTTAAGCACTTAACCGCTGAAGAAAATATGCCCTAGAGGCAATAATAAAGTTATTATTTATATTTCCTTATATCATGATAAATGTTTCTTTTTCATGCTAGAATTGTATTAACCGGAAACTTAGTACATGTGTGAATACATAGACAAAAACAGAGTGTCCTTAGTATGCCTCTACTTGACTAGCTTGTTAATCAAAGATGGTTATGTTTTCTGACCATAGACATGTGTTGTCATTTGATGAACGGGATCACATCATTAGAGAATGATATGATGGACAAGACCCATCTGTTAGCTTAGCATTATGATTGTTGAGTTTTATTGCTATTGATTTCTTCATGACTTATACATGTTCCTCTGACTATGAGATTATGCAACTCCCGAATACCGGAGGTATACCTTGTGTGCTATCAAACGTCACAACGTAATTGGGTGATTATAAAGATGCTCTATAGGTGTCTCCGAAGGTGTTTGTTGGGTCGGCATAGATCGAGATTAGGATTTGTCACTCCGTGTATCGGAGAGGTATTTCTGGGCCCTCTCGGTAATGCACATCACTATAGCCTTGCAAGCAATGTGACTAATGAGTTAGTTGCGGGATGATGCATTACGGAACGAGTAAAGAGACTTGCCGGTAATGAGATTGAACTAGGTATGATGATACCGATGATCGAATCTCGGGAAAGTAACATACCGATGACAAAGGGAACAACGTATGTAGTTATGCGGTTTGACCGATAAAGATCTTCATAGAATATGTAGTAGCCAATATGAGCATCCAGGTTCCTCTATTGGTTATTGATCGGAGATGTGTCTCAGTCATGTCTACATAGTTCTCGAACCCGTAGGGTCCGCACGCTTAACGTTCGATAACGATTTGTATTATGAGTTTATGTGATTTGATGACTGAGGGAGTCCTGGATTAAGGGGTTCTTAGGCGTCCGGGCTATGTGACGTGGGCCGGACCGATGGGCCATGAAGATACAAGACAGAAGACTTCCTCCCGTGTCCGGATTTGACTCTCCTCTGCGTGGAAGGCAAGCTTGGCGTTCGGATATGAAGATTCCTTCCTCTGTAAACCGACTCTGTACAACCCTAGGCCCCTCCGGTGTCTATATAAACCGGAGGGTTTAGTCCGTAGAGGCAATGACAATCTTACAGGCTAGACATCTAGGGTTTAGCCATTATGATCTCGTGGTAGATCAACTCTTGTATCCTCATATTCATCAAGATCAATCAAGCAGGAAGTAGGGTGTTACCTCCATCAAGAGGGCCCGAACCTGGGTAAACATCGTATCCCCCGTCTCCTGTTACCATCGACCTTAGACGCATAGTTCGGGACCCCCTACCCGAGATCCGCTGGTTTTGACACCGACATTGGTGCTTTCATTGAGAGTTCCGCTGTGTCGTCATCAAAAGGTTCAATGGCTCCATCCATCATCTACAACAATACTGCCCTGAGGGAGGTCTTTCTCCCCGGACAGGTCTTCGTATTCGGCGGTTTCGCACTGCGGGCCAACTCACTTGGCCATCTAGAGCAGATCGATAGCTATGCCCCAGGTCACCAGATTAGTTTTGGAAATCTGGATTATGTCACTGATATCCGAGGAGACTTGATCTTCCAAGGGTTCACAACTCCAACCTCCTCTTTGGCCTTAGATCCGGAGCTCATCGCCAGGTCCGAAGACGGGATTCTTGAGCCCGCCGGACTATCTACAGCCACTAAGCCCAGTACGGGAGAGTCGGAGAAAGTAGTGTCGCTGGCAACCATCATGAAGTCGGACTCTTCTCCGGACACTGGCTCCGAAACCTCGGAGTTAGCATCGTGTGAACTCGGCCAAGGAGTCTCCTTCTCGCCGTACTCCATGAACTCTTTACTCCTTGGCCGAACCTCGCCTTTAAGCGAGGCTCTGGACTTGATGTGATCCCTCGTCATTACAGAGGAGCAGAGTCCAAACTACGGCCAACCCGGACTAGGGGCTGAGAGCAGGGAATTTCATGTCCCACCCACCACCCACTTCATAGCCACTGTCGAAGACTTAACTGACATGCTCGACTACGACTCGGAAGATATCGACGGCATGGACGACAATGCCGGAGAGGAGCAGGCCCAAAACCCGCCATTTACCGAACGATGGACGGCCACCTCTTCGTATGATGTGTACATGGTGGATACACCCAAAGAGGGTAACAGGGATAACGAGAAGAATCCAGTCGAGGATAAACCTCCTGAGATACAACCAAAGCGCTGACATCAGCGGCGCAGCTCTAAACCACGTCATGGAAAAGACAGCAATACCGGCACGAGAGACAACAATACTCCGGACGACGTCGAAGACGAAGAAGAACCCGTCGAGCCAACCTCTGAACAGGACGATCGGGAAGATGGGCAAGTTAGCCCTGATGAACAGGTTGTAAACAAAGACTCGGAGGACAACAATTATCTTCCATTCTTCGAGGATGAGGTGAGCCTCGGCGACGAAGACTTTATCGTGCCTGAGGAACCTCTCGAGCAGGAGCGCTTTAAGCGCCGACTAATAGCCACTGCAAGGAGCCTGAAAAATAAGCAGCTGCAGTTTCAAGCTGATCAAGATCTACTCAACGACAGGTGGACTAATGTCCTGGCAGCCGAGGAATACTGCCTCGAGCGCCCAACCCAAAAGTTACCCAAAGTGTAAACTGCTACCTCAATTAGACGACGAAGCACTTGAGCCCGTACCATCAGCGCATAACGCGGCTGACCGACCACAACATGGCCGGGACAAAACGGCAACTCAAGCCGAACACCAGCCCATACCACCTCACCGTAAAGTTAGAGACACAACAGCTCGGGGATATACATATGACATGCGGCAGGACCTGGAAAATAGAGCAGGTCAGACCAGATCGATCTACAGGTCGCGGGGCATGCCCCGATGCGCGATGATGGCTATCTAGCCGGACGTGACAAGCATAACAACGTCCGGGCCGAAAACCACAGACGGACTCCATCCGAGCTGCGATGCGACTTGGCCCGATATAGAGGCGCCATTCACTGATGAAGTAATGGAGCACGAATTCCCAGAAGGGTTTAAACCCGTGAATATCGAATCGTATGATGGAACAACAGATCCCGTGGTATGGATTGAGGACTTTCTTCTCCATATTCATATGGCCTGCGGCGATGATCTTCATGCCATCAAATACCTCCCACTAAAACTCAAGGGACTAGCTCGGCACTGGTTAAATAGCCT